TGTTGACAAGTATCACACAAATCAGTTCTTGGACTCATAATTTGAATTTCTGGTGTCAATTGATGTCATAATTTTCTGAATGCATCATATTTTAAGGATTTCAAATTATTATCTTCTTCTAGACCAGCCAGAAAATCCCTGTACACAGATTTATAACTCATTTCAGCTGGTAAGAATGTGATTGATTGAGTTATTCTATTGATATTTCTTCCTGGACTTGGTAATCCATGGACTTCTGCATAATTTTCTAGAAAATTCTTTATTACTTCAGCAACATTTTTATCAATCACCATTTTAGTTTTCCATTGAGGCATTCTTTTAATATTACCATGAATTCTTGGTAGAAGACCATTATTTATTAGATGATTTCTAATATTTTCAAAATAAGTCCTACCAATTCCTAACATATTGAGATAAGTTTCTTGACAAAGGAGTGTATTGTGATCCCATTGATAGAAAGTTCTTTTATTAGATCTGGTTTTCTTTTTAAGGCGTCTACTAGTACTTATTGATCCACCATCCATTGCCTTAAGTTGGGCCATTAAGAATATGTCTTGTTCTACTTTAGAAAGAGCTTGAAAAGATTCCCTTAATTCTGCAAATTGTTCCTTGGGAATTCTTGAAGAGCATCCACAACCACAGCCTTTTTCTAAAAAATCAATGGCCTTTTGATATTCATTAGAACCATTATATTTATTATTAATTTTCATATACACTTATCCCTATACATATATATTATTTTATAATTTTATGTTCACTTTGTAGTTTTTTATAATTGTTTTAAAGTTGAAGGAAAGTATATGAATGGAATTAAACTTAGATGAATCAATGTAATTAAATATCTTCTGAATAGATTATAACAATAAGGTTAATTATAATTTATTTGTATTTTTATTATTTATATATTATTATGTATTTTTAACATAGAAAGGATTATCCTCTAAGAAATAAAGGTAATTTGTATTTTTACAATAATTAAAGTACCTATTCAAAAATACTTAAAATTTATCCTGTTGAAAAGTAATTCTTACAAATGTATAAAAATTATATTTTTCAAAATAATCAATTTTTGAAACTTAAAAATTAATTTGATAATGATAATTACATTAAGGTAAATAACTTGAATTGTAAAATGCAAACTACAAGAGCAAAGAAAAATGGAGCTCTAAATTAACATAAAAAATTTTTAAATTGCATACAAACCTAATCCCCTTCAATAAGTGCACCAATGGATTCAAATAATTGCTTGATTGACCTTGGAACATGTAATGGTGTGATTGTTCCAGCCTTGGATTCCATGCAATCACTCTCGCAATTTTTTTATCTTGTATTTTTTCTATATAATTAATTATATATCTTGGTTAAAATAAAAAATAAAATAAGATACAATATTGCTATTTAATACTTTCCTCATGTGTGAATCCTTTCATCTTCACATTTGTCACAATGTTCATTAAATACATTTGATATCATCATTGACATAACAAACAATTGCATCACCCAAGTAGTAATGATACCAAGGCCATGCAAAAATGAAGCTTTTAATAATGCATGTCTACCCAGATCTCTGGGTTTCACAAAATAAATTATTTTTCATGATTATCAATTGTGGTTCCCCATGAATAATAAATCTGATGTTGATTGCAGGTGTCAGATTTAATTAAATTTTCCTATCACAAACATGTGGTTATGTGCTTTCACACGCCTCATAACTGTCCACAGGTGAGGTCCCCCACATGTTGGAAGGCTTTGGACAAAACTTTCCCTATCTTCTTTCCCAGACCAGGCTTGGATGTCACCATATGGGCATTGATCACTGATAGCTTGGTGTTTGTGTGATGATTGATTTGTGTTATTGCCACACTAGCATAAAAGTTGGCACCTGGAACTGGTTGAAAATTCAGCAACTCAGGAGGTTGCAACCTGGATTGCTGCTTGGATTTTTCCTGGATTCAGAGTTTGATAGTGTACATTTTCTGTGCTTAACATGCATGTGACCCAAAGTCTGGACAAAAGATCCCTTTCTATGAGTTTGGCTGGTATATCTCAAAGGTGTTTCCTGTCTTGTCAGTGGCATGCCTACTCACCAACAACCCTACCCCCATTTACTAAACTAACAAGTTCAGTTGGTCAGATAAAAATTAAAGAGAAGCAGAAAATTTGGGAAAATGATTAATTTATTACAAAACATACCAAACAAAATCCGAACCATTTTATAACTTTTTTCTTGTTGGCCATATCACTGACTTTTCATCCAGCATGCCAGCAGCCTTCTCTGGTGAGGGAAGATTAGTGAAAGCGTCATTGACGATTGATGCAGTCTCGGTAAACTCCAGGACCATGCCACCCCCATCTGGAATTTGGTTGCATCATTGTATCCTTGGGCGTCGCAGGTCGGTTTAGCCTTTTGTACACGAGGAAGATGTGTGAATGACTGTAAAGTGTTTAAGGTAGCATGCGTGCTTCAACACCTGCCAATTTCTGATAATCAAACGTCGCATATTCAAAATGTTACTTCTGTAACAGTATTCTGCCTTGACACCTTCTTATGATTATAATAATATTATTAATA